AAATCTAGATCGAGGCTTACCTGTGCAAATGAATGGGAAGCGGACTATCTATCATGGGGGGCTCTCTGTCACGTTACACCGGTGTAATAGTAATGGAAGTCCGCTAGGAACCGTAGTCCGTTCTCCATTACTTTGCACAGGTGACATTAGTCCCATATACTAATCCCAATACTCCAACTAACCCTAACCTGTATAAATATTGGACCCGGACATCCATTCTTATGCCCCTATTTCACACAGACCACGAATCTCACGAATCTCACGAATCTTTTAAGAACTTCACGAACTGATTACGATTCAAACACTGAGAGAGAGAGAGAGAGAGAGAGAGAGCAGAACTTACATATGAAAACAACTATTCACAATATTTATTCACAGTTTTAACTGAGACAAAACTCAAACGTATAATTTGCGACTAACCACGATTCAGTGAATTGATCGCGTTTACTTCTAAATACACGAGTACCAAACACATACTACTTCAAACAAAACAAAAGGTAATACTATTATTGGTTAAACGTAGTCTATTTGCATCCTGATATACAGTATACCTGTAAGACAGATCTAGCGCCTTAGATTGGAAGACATTATTTAAGATCTTGGAGCCTGTTAAAATATGATCTAAAAAAACACCATAGAGTTTGTATTCAGATTCTAAAGCTGTAAACTTGTGAGAGACACTGAACATTTTGTGTCTGTCTGTATTTGATATTTAAAAAAGAAATAAATTAATAAAACCCCGTTTTATCATAATATTTCCCTTAAAATGGGGGTCTCTACATACAGTTAATATGTTATCAAATGAAACCGCCAATTTCAGTGCACGATGACATCCAGGTAGATCATATCACATATATCACTTGTTTCATTCAGTCATCACTTTGTTTTGATCAGACAAGCCTTGAGCTCAAATGGGCCTTTACGTTGTTCCTTAACATATTTGCCATGGAGATCATAACCTTACCCATATTTTGTTTAATGTCACAAAAAAAAAAAAAAACAATAATAATAAATAAAATAAAATAAAATAAAAATAAAAATACTGCCTGGTGCTTCTTGCACACCTTGTCATACAGAGAGATTTCTTGTTACTGGCCTCCATGCCTTTTAAGCAAAACCTGTGTTTCAGATTTTTTTTTTCATTTCTGAATATTGCCCTGAAACACATTCCAGGAAAAAAGTTCCGCAATGCGCATGTTCTGTCCACCAGATTTTTATCCTTTAAGTGACCCGACTTTCTAACCCCATTTTGGTGACAATTGTCGATGCGATGTTCACTTGATATTTGTATTAAATGTGGTCAGATATCTACGAATCATCCGATTTCATCCGGCCATCTATCACGTATGAAGCCAGCAGTGTGTTTGGTATACGTGCCAGCCATTGTTTTTGAATAAGTAGCAATGAACAATAAACTGTTCAAATTAACAGCGATGAAAAACACCTTCAATCAATCGCCCTGTAACGTTATCCTCATTGATACAAGATCAATCAACATGATACACAGCTTGTGCGTCATCACAAATAGGTTCAACACTTTAAAACAAAATCCAAATTTTCAAATGAAAATCCTTCCCTCTGTCTACACAGAGCTCTTTTGCTTCCTGAATCCAGGTTTATGTTGATTCACTTAAAAACCTTTCGTAGCAAAAGCCATGGTTTCAGCGATTGTATCCCGACCCCGCTATCTCCAAAGAAGGGGCCAATTTATTCACATGGGGGTCACACTGAAACAAAGAAGGGGCTCTTATTTCTAAATGCAGGTTGCACCTTAGTCTGACACGGGGTCCATGCAGCGTTCGCAGTCTGACATATCAACGTGAAGTGCCTCTATTTGAATCGTTGGTTCGTGAATTCCAAGGTCATTGACGATTTCGGTTGCATCTCTTAAAACGATCTCGTAATCCGTGAGATCTAAATCTGCAATAAGATACGATAAATGTTAGTCAATTGCTTTTGTAAATTTAGGGAATCTGCCGTTAAAACCAACAACCCCTACTATCTTCATTTCTCGTAAAAGGTATCACATGAAGATCGTTCTCACAGACGAAAGAATAGATATTTGTATCATTCTCTGACACGTGGGGAGAGCGATTAAGGTTTTGAAGGGTGCTAAGCAAGTTTTGATGTTTTTAAAAAGGCGCACTTGTCCTTGTGTGTGTATGTGTGTGTGAGAGAGAGAGAGAGAGAGAGAGAGAGAGAGAGAGAGAGACTCACCTATTGCTAAGTGTACCGATAAAGCTAACTTGTGTGTCGTTAGCGACCACAGCCTGAGATTATGCACCTTCTTCACTCCGGGGATTTCTAAGAATTTGTGCTTTATTTGATTGAAATTCATATGCCGCGGAGTGGCTGAAACAGACAAAATATACTGTATATTTGGTGTATCAATGTCATAGAACTTGGCAAAGGCGAGATCATCCTCAGACTCGATTGTTAGGCGAGAGGCACGCCCCTCAAGATTGCCAAAAAATAAATCCATAAAATTTGTGTCATTAATTTCAAGTTAAAAATGCTCTTAACACAAGGCCAAAAGGGACACAATGGATGCAAAAGTAGGCATTTCTTTTTCCTGCGATGATAAATTTATTTTACGAACTTACTGCAACCGTTGTGAAAATATAATGCTGCGGAATTGAACCATGATATGTATTGATCTGTGCAAATCATACTCTGATATTTTATTAATAAATGCATTTTAATTTATGTCACAGTAACAGTCAATTACTGTCGAAGAAATGAATCAAGCAACAGAGATTGCGGTAGTTGAGATGCCTGGTTGTGACGATTGTGCTTACCTTCCATCAGCACATTCAGCGCGTCCCTCAACACGGTTACCGTGGTGATAAGAACCAATATGGAGAACACGAACGTGCATATAGGATCCACTATTTTCCACTCAGGCTAAAATGAAATAAAAAAAAGCCAATTTACAGAAAACGGACGTGTAAAATATAAATACCAAACAGTGTCAATTGAATTGGGAGTGCTTCAAAAGCAAATTCGCCAACTACTAAACAGAATTGCCGTGATTTCCTTCAGCACCTCGAATCAGCCTCAAGCGACAATTGTGAACATAGGTGAACAACATTATTGAACTTATAACTAGAGTTAAATAGTACTTACTAATACAAGAACTATTATATATGATAAAATCCACCATGGTAACACATGAACAACAGCCAGATGTTTTGTCTGACTGTGTTAATTACCACATTCTATTTTTCTGTAAATATGGCTAAAATATTACGTAGGGCTCCTATGGATAAACTGTTACCTTATAATAAATAATATAGGCGGCTATTAATACTCCAACGCTTTGAAATAAGTCCCCTAATACGTGCACGAACGCTGCACGTATATTTAAATTTTCTTGCTTTCCTCCGTGCCCGTGCCCGTGTCCGTGGTCACTCTCCGACGAGTGGTTGTCATGACTATGACCACTGTCACTCTCGTGATCACCATGACTATGACCGTGATCACCGTTGCTATGGCTATGACCGTGTCCGTGGCCATTTTCCTTTGAGTGCGGGACTAACTCGGAAGTGGATTTTGCGTCATATCCGTCTGAGAGGGGAGACTCTACATCCGGTGGTGGCGCTAGCGGCCCGTGGGAGTGGCCGTGGCTCCCTCCACCGTGGGAGTGAGAGTGGGGATGAAGGGTCATTCCCAGCCTAGAGATATATAATATGAAAATTAGTATGATAAATGATATGATATAGGATAAAGGATTCACAATATTTTGGTACAATGAAATAACATTGTTGCTTTTTAAAGATCAATTCCCGTATTAACTCTTCGCTGTTATAACCCTTTTACGGTCATTATCATTATATCCGACTTTCCTACCCGTCTTTACCAGGGGATAACTTGCAATATAATCCCAGCTACTTACAGTATATTGATGCCTACGCCTATCCCGGCGGTGATTAACATAATCTTGGCGTCTATTTCGTAGTCCATGTGGATGACCCTGAGGATCGCCATGTACACCAACACTCCAGTCAGGATCCAGATTAACAACACAGACACCATGGCCCCCATCACCTCTGCAAGACAAAGTTGTTTAACGTTTACATTTTACAAGAACAGATAATATGTAATGGAGATAATTTCATTTAATGCTATTGATAAAAAAGGGTTATTCTCCACATTAATAAGGCCTTCGGGGCGTCAGGTCACACAAGAAAACCAACAAGCCATCATCATACATGAAGCAGCTGGAGAAGTTCAGACACAAAAGGCGCATTCAAACAAATTAATGACGATATATCAATGAAATGGGGACAGGGAAGATAGCCCAAATGAATGGCATTCTGGGGTTCCGCATGTTTCGTTCATGATAGGGTTAGCCGAAAGTATTGGGCTCGATACATGGGACGAACGAAACATGCATCTCTGTACAAAATAATAGGGGGACGTACTGCGGTTTCTGGCGGACTACCATTCGTGCCACACCGAAATTGCAATGAAGCGATGTAACGCCATACTAACCAAAATGACCTCATAAAGATCAGTGTGACGTCATAAACACTTAAGTGACGTCAATTTTTTTTTCAATTTGACGTCATACAGATAAACGTACCTGCTCTGTGCCATCCGAAGCTCATCTTTTTTGTGGCCGGCTTGGAAGCCATATAGAGAGAGAACAAGCTAATCATGAAGCTGGCAAAGTCTGTTAACATGTGGGAGGCGTCTGTCATGATAGCGAGACTTCCGGCCACAGCGCCACCTTTTGGAGAGAAACAAGTTTACAGAAACTTTGACAGCATCAGAAGAAATCACTATTGGTATGATCTGAATAATTAGAAAGAGATACTCTTGAAGCAAACATTATTGAATTCTTCCAGCAATCTATTGAAACAACCTTCCATATATATTATTTCATGAAAGTATATCTTTCAGTAACTATTATCATCATGTATATGTCACCAGTATTAAATTTGTGCTACTGTGATAATGAAGGCAAAACATTGATTTGTTTAATTAAAGTTTTTAAGTGGTAAATACAAACCATTCGTTTTAAAATATCATACTTCAATGTATACGTAATTCAACAACACGTCCATCTAGGAGCCGACGCAGACAGTTGGTCTAATTTACGGTCCAAAGTGAGCCAAATGTGAACAGTCCTGACTACTTACCAATGATTTCGGCGACGGTGAAAATAAGGCACAGTATACTAGCGAGAATTAAGCGATTCCTTGTGCTTTTGTCAACTGCCGGAGACAGTCGCTGTAAATCGTGGCAATGGGCGACTGAAGAGAGAAAATAAACATTCTATAAATCACTTGATGATGCAGAGGTATAAAACGAAGTCAGCAAAAGATGCACATATCACAAACAATGCCTTGTACGTGACTCACCGTGTGTGTGTGTGTGTGTGTGTGTGTGTGTGTGTGTGTGTGTGTGTGTGGAGTCGGGGTTGATACATGTTTCTTGTATTATTTATTTATTTATTTTAAATGTGCATATATAATAAGCGTGAGTGTATTGCAGAGTGCTCAACTGTCCGGAGCATATATATCATATGCATGTACAACGTATTTTAGACAATCGATGTCTTGGTTTTCCAGAAAATGAGAAGACCAACAGAGAGAGAGAGAGAGAGAGAGAGAGGAGGAGGAGGAGGAAGGGAGCATTGGCTAGTCTTTGGATATCGTCATCAATATAGACAGTAATGATTTCAAAGCCCTATGACAGAGGGCAGCACATTCGGCCAGAGAGCCGCAGGTGGCAGTCAGTGGTGGAGATACACATCCATGGTTACTTACCAGCACTTAACAACACCCCTGTGCCTTATTTTATAGCAGCATTCATTTCCGCGGGCCTCAAGGGTGCCCCGATTAAGTGAGGGAAATGGGATTAAACCGGTTTTGGTGTACGTAGTATCGGGAAATTAATAGGACAACGCAGGATATTTACGTCTATTAACTGTAAGCCAAATTAGGGACAGACAGTTTTCCTATCGTATTAATTTTCTAAATTCTGTACAACTACAAACTGTCGAAAAAAAATGAGTGCAAATTGCGATGCATCAAGTGAAGAGACATATAAATAAATAAATAAATAAATAAATAAATAAATAAATAAATAAATAAATACTACTTCTTTAATAAAGCTAAAAAGATGATAATCGAACGAAAAATTAATGGGACAGTAATTGGTGCAGTTTATCCTACAGAATGACCTCGACCTTCGTACCACTTCCAGCATTTTACCTTGACCTACTTACAACTGCAAATATTTGACCTTGACCTACTTACCACTGCTCGCATTTGACCCGCCACCATCGGACTGGTCGTCTGGCGTGATACTGCTGTAGTCTTTTCTGTGAATAAAATAAAGATGAAATCAAAAGAGATTCCATGCACGAGAAATTGTGATTTTACTAAAATAAAAATTCGAAAAGTGCAGTCTTACATACTTGACGTAGGCAAATGAATTTCTATAAGATTTTCGCAGAAAGATTTAAACGTTAGTTATACATATAATACAATTGGATTTATAATTCACAAAAAAGTAATCCTATGAAAAGAAAGATAGCACTTATTCCTTCCCCTAAAAATAAATATCTTTCACAAACCAAGAGAAACTACATATAATCTGCTTTTAATCCTGCGTTGCTGAAACGCAGTCATGCAAACATAATAATCAGGTCGATATGATCATTACTACTTGTTTAGGAGCAGTCAGCATACACAACGCAACATTAAACAATAAATAGAGAGATTATTAATCATTAGTCAAGCTGCGGGCGCCTTCTGAAAAAAGGGTTTGATAAAAAACGCATTTGTGATGACATTCAGTGCAATTTGTAAAAGTCACCTCTTCTAATCATTTGGTATTCATTTTGTTTTCAGTATCGCTCAGTGACAGCTGTGAAAGTATGACCTCTTTTAAATATAAAATAGTTTCAGTGCACATGACTTGTTTGATGACCTTAGGAACGTATTTTATGGAATAATAGTTCATGAAATTCATCAGCAAACGCTTCATTGCCTTCATTGCGTATATGCTGACAGGTAACATAAGCGAACATTTGCACCAACTACAACGACTTTTGTGCTGATTAAGGTGATCTGAACTTGGTATTTCGTGTTTGAAATGGTTATTTTTCTACTGAAAAAGAGAAAGAACAAGTTGGGCCTCATAGCAGCAAAGACTGACATAGGGTTTTGGAAGGTTCAACACAAATCAACACACACACACACACACACACACACACAGAGAGAGAGAGAGAGAGAGAGAGAGAG